TAACTGAAATCTGTTTGCTAATTTTCTGGTAAATCTATTAAAATTTCTGAGTGATAATGGCTGCCAGTGGGTACCTGCCATGTTCCAGGCACTCATATAAATACTCACATGTCTTCCTCACAACCAGTCTAGGATGTTAGGTATTTTTAATCCCATCAGCATGAAAAGAAGTGGGCCTAGAGATGCGAAATAACTTAGTCAATGATACAGCTAGTAAGTGGTACAACAGAAATAGAACCCAGGAACTCAAATCTGTCCAGCTACAGAGACCTGCCCCTGCACACAGCCTGTCTTCATAGGTGGCCCCCCAGTGACCCCTTCCAGATGCCCTTACACCAGGGTGGTCTCCTTCCCTAGAGGATTGCTCATCCTCTTCCTACTCTGGCATTGTGGGATTCCTTCCCCCTTCCTGTCTCGGCCTTCTCATGGCCTCTAGGGCAGGGCTTGGCACACCTGGCAGCCTTCTCTTGCCTGGCAGTGACTCACCTGGTGCTCAGGGGCCTGTTGGCACATTCCAGGTGTTGCTAGGGGTAGTGTTTGCCTTGTTGGTACTCCCTAGAGCTCCCAGCCTTCATCCTCCCTGGTAAAAGGTTGACTGAGCTGGCAGAGCTTCAGGACTTACCTAAGTCCATTTGGGGAGTAGAATTTTTGCAGTCCCATTATGCCAAGTGCCACTCAGTGGGGATTCCTTTTGTAATAATCATCATCAATCATATTTTCTTTAAAGAAGCTTGTGTGCACTATAGAAAATTGGAAAATAGGCGGGTTTAGTGGCTCACACCTACAACCCTAGCACTCTGGGAGGCTGAGACTGGCAGATTGCTTGAGCTCAGGAGTTTGAGACCAGCTTGAGTAAGATCGAGATCCTGTCTCTACTCAAAAATAGAAAAATTAGCTAAGTGTGTGGTGTGCACCTGTAGTCCCAAACTACTTGGGAGGCTGAGGCAAGAGGATTGCTTGAACTCAAGAGTCTGAGGTTGCTGTGAGCTATGATGCTATGGCACTCTACCCAGGTGACAGAGTAAGACTGTCTGAAGAAAAGAAAAAGGAAAAAGAGAAAATTAGAAAATAGCGGAACTATGGAAGATGAGGAGAGCCAAACTATTAGCTTAACCATCATGGGTAACAACAGATTGTTAAGGCTCAGTGGCCTTTTGGTAGTTTTTTTAGAAAATGGTACCTTATTGGATGTTCTTTTTTCATTTAACTGCATATCGTGAACATTTTTCTGTCATTATATATTCTTACTTTTTAAAATATCTGCATTGTGCTTTATCAGCAAGTAAATATAATTTCCTGATCTGCTTCCCTGTAGTCACCACTGTGTGGTGGAACTTCTTGTTTTTTACTACTTTATTAATAATGACACAGCATATTTATAGATTTTTTTCTTAATTTCAGTTCCTAAACGTAATGGGTCAAAAAACTCCTTAACAGGGATTCCTTGATGCTTTTACCATAAACTTTGGGGTCACTTTAGGGTATTCTATGTCTTAGTGTATTTTGTGTCACAGTATTAGAAGTGAGTGACCTTCAGTTTCTTAGGAAGACTAGAGGAAAGAGAGGGTCTCCTTTTCAGATAGTCATTCAGTGTCTGCCACAAAGTCTGTCCTCTGAGCTCCACTTCCACACCTTTAGGGTTTTTCTGTGTTCGC